CTGTCCTGTCCTGTCCTGTCCTGTCCTGTCCTCTCCTTTCCTCTCCTCTCCTCCCCTCCCCTCCTCCTTTCCTGTCCTGTCCTGTCCTGTCCCTTTCCTTTCCCTTTCCCTTTCCCTTTCCCTTTCCCTTTCCCTTTCCCTTTCCTGTCCTTTCCTTTCCTTTCCTTTCCTTTCCTTTCCTTTCCTTTCCTTTCCTTTCCTTTCCTCCTGAAACACCATTAAACCGAAACCAAAACCTCTCAATTCCAGTGCCAGGTACTGTAGTCTCTTCTTGATTTTGCTGAACCTTCAGATTATCCCAGTTTAATAATGTATAGGTCTACTTGCAGATTTGTCACGCTGCATTGATTTCTGAACAAAGCCTATTAATTATTAAGTAATTATGCTTTCCTGAGATCCTTGGGCTCTCTACTACCCACTGCTCTCATTCTGCAGAGCAACATGACAGACAGTGGCCTACAAGCCTTCCGTGAGACGTTTTATATCAAACTATATTTTATTCTTTACACTGTTTCCATCTTTCCTTAAAACATCAACAGAATCCACAATGGACTGAGAACCAGCGTCTCCACTAGATATTTGACAGTTAAGCTGAAACTAAGTTAATCAAGTAAAAATAGCAAAAACAGATCTCTCCTGCAAATCTTACTTCCATGTGGTAGGTGAGCTATCGTCGGCAGGCTAGCCAGCAGATCAGCAAAAGTGCAGTCATTACAGCCGCACGGTGATATAGTAATAGCCACGGTTATTGATTTTTCCCCACCAACTGCATACCCTGCTTTATTGCACTCGCTCGGCTTCTTTTTGGCTCAGGTGCAATTTAGCCCAAAGAGAACATTGAATAGCAGAGTGCTGAAGAGGTTTATTTCACAAATTACCCATAATAATAAAGTGCCTGGCCTCCTTGATCCCACTTGGCTAGAGAAAAATGGAATGGCTGTCTGGAGAATGGAGAGAATTTTGACATATTCCAAAATTATAAGCTTAATCACAGAAGTGTCAAAGTCTCTCTGTCTCTCTTTCTCTCTCTCTCTCATCTATCTTCTATCTACATCATCTATATCTATCATTTATCTATCCATCCATCCATCCATCCATCCATCCATCCATCCATCCATCTCTATCATCTACCTACCTACCTACCTACCTATCATCTATCTATCTATCTATCTATCTATCTATCTATCTATCTATCTATCTATCATCTATCTATCATCATCTACCTACCTACCTACCTATCTGTCTGTCTGTCTGTTATCTATCTATCTATCTATCTATCTATCTATCTATCTACCTACCTACCTATCTATCATCTACCCATCCATCCATCCATCCATCCACCCATCTATCATCTATCTATCTATCTATCTATCTATCTATCTATCTACCTACCTATCTATCATCTACCCATCCATATATCCATCTATCCATCCATCCATCCATCTATCTATCTATCTATGTATAATTTATGTATCTATAGTATGTATGTATGTATGTATGTATGTATGTATGTATGTATGTATCCATCCATCCATCCATCCATCCATCCATCCATCCATCTATCATCTATCTATCTATCTATCTATCTATCTATCTACCTAACTACCTACCTATCTATCATCTACCCATCCATATATCCATCTATCCATCCATCCATCCATCCATCTATCTATCTATGTATAATTTATGTATCTATAGTATGTATGTATGTATGGATGTATGTATGTATGTATGTATGTATGTATCCATCCATCCATCCATCCATCCATCCATCCATCTATCATCTATCTATCTATCTATCTATCTATCTATCTATCTATCTATCTACCTACCTATCTATCATCTACCCATCCATATATCCATCTATCCATCCATCCATCCATCCATCCATCCATCCATCCATCCATCTATCTATCTATGTATAATTTATGTATCTATAGTATGTATGTATGTATGTATCCATCCATCCATCCATCCATCCATCCATCCATCCATCCATCCATCACCTCAGTATTATATGCTTCTAAGTGTGTGCACCTCGGCTTAATCGCTTTCTTCAAGCAAATTCCAAACCCTTGCTTTCTTTTGTCAAATCTGCCTTCCCGCAGCAGATGGCAGCAGAATGTGTCATCCATCAAAGGGCCTGAGCCTGGATCATTCATATACCCTTTGCTGAGATTCTGTAGGGCTTATCAGCAAGAATGGAGTGTTGAGGTTTTGCTTGTCTTTTATTCATGGTAGAATGCCATCCAAGCAGAGGCAGAAGGGTCAAAACTACAAAAGGAGAATCATGCAAGCTCTGTCTTATTTCTCCGTAAGTAGCACCAGATTCAAGGTTCAAAAAAGGAGAGGCTTGATCGGATTGATGCAACACCACACCCTCCACCACCTTGGCCTCTGGTGGATCTTGTCTCCTTTTGGGACAACCATGACCTGGATGACGGAGAATCTCTACAGACGTTTAGCAATGCAATTTGGGATGAACACCCTTCGAATGGTGTGAGAGTAGGAATCGATTTCCAGAAGAAAAAAATTGCAGACTACAGGAACCAGGAGCATCACTCAGGTGACCCTGAGGACACAGATAAACCTCCAAGTAGCCCCAACGACCCTCTAAAAAGGATGCAAATGACCAGCTGTCTGCAAGGAGTATCAATCCTTCCATTTCCCACCATCCAGTCAGAGCTGAAAAAGCTTCTTGGATGAGAAGTGAAACATCTTCAAAGAAAAGACAAGAAAGTCCAGCTGTCTCCTGAAAAAGCACCTTAACTGAGACAACCAGGACCTGGATGACTGAGAATCTCTACAGACATTTGTTGTTGTAGAAATGGCTAGTACATATTAAGTAAAAAGTTGAGGCTGTAACGTTGCTATCTTATTCTACTCCTCTAAAAAGAGTAATGAATGCTTTTCTTTCTTTTTTCCCCTTTCCCTTCTACTGTTTCCTTTTTCCTCTCCCATTTCCCACCATTGTCATTTTTATTTGTATTGTAACTAGTGTCTTGATAAACTTAATAAAATTGTTAAAACAAAAAAAAAATTGCTTTGTGACCAGGGTGGATTTGATTTAAATCGAGTTGATTTAAATCACAATTTAAATCATGATTTAAATCACTAGTAAAAAGGCTTGATTTAAATCAACTCGATTTAAATCATAATTTTTAAAGAGCCACTGTCATCTCTGCTACTCCTTTGACCCGCTGTTGACTCACCGATAGTCCCAGGGTTGCAGAATATACAGCCTCATGCGACATAACTAAGCTCCATTTCATGCTGAATAAACTAAATTATTTATGTATCTTAAATAGAAAACTATCTTAGGATAGATTTTTACCCCAAAAGTTTTTTATTAAAATAAATTCGATAAAAATCAAAAAAATCCGATTTAAATAAAAAAAATTCCGATTTAAATAAAAAAAATCTGATTTTTTTGATTTTTTTAAAAAAAATCATTGATTTTTATCCACCTTGTTTGTGACTGAGACCTGGCAAAATTCCTATTCCTCTTTTCTCCCTATTTACCGTCTAGGTCAGGGGTCTCCCACCTTGGCAACTTTAAGATTTGTGGACTTCAACTCCCAGAATTTGCTTTGCTGGCTGAGGAATTCTGGGAGTTGAAGTTCACAAGTCTTAAAGTTGCCAAGGTCTAGGTACAATGACTGCTTGCTAAATGAAGAGTGTATCCCAGAGATCTTGAACCTTAAGTGAGCATGCAGGTAATCCTTGATTTATGACCCCAATCGGAACTGGGACATTCATTATTAAGTGTTGTGGTTTTTAAGGAAGACATCATATGTTGGTGACTTGCAACCTTCTTTGCTGGCTTCCCCAGTGAAATTGCTTGTTGGAAGTGAACTGGGAAGTTTGTAAATGGCGAATATGTGACTGCAGCATGCTGTGAGGGACCAACATAAATATATGACGGTTGCCAAGTGCGCCAATCACAATCAGAAACCCTCCCTAGTTTCTTGACCTGCAAAGGCGAGGGAGGAAGAGATGCAGTTTCGAAAAGAGTGCAAGGCAGGGGTGAAATGCTCCCGGTTCGGACCGGATCACCCAATTTGGTAGCGATGGTGGTGGGTGGTTCAGAGAACCAGTAGCAAAAATCCCTGCTCCCCTCATGCCCAGCTGAGCTGCACGATCATCAGAGGCTTTTTTTTTAAACTTTTAAAAGCATTTTTTCTTCGGCCAAAAAATGCTTTTAAAAGTAAAAAAAAAAGCCTCTGATGATCGTGCGGCTCAGCTAGGATCGTCAGAGCCTTTTAAAAGCATTTTTTCTACAACCTCTTCGGTCGAAGAGGTTGTTTAAAAAATGCTTTTAAAAGGCTCTGATGATCCCAGCTGATTTGCCTGATCGTCAGAGGCTTTTTTTTTCTTTTAAAAGCAAAAAACAAATGCTTTTAAAAGAAAACAAAAGCCTCTGACAATCAGGCAACTCAGCTGGGATCGTCAGAGCCTTTGAAAAGCATTTTTTTTTACAACCTCTTTGGCTGAATGCTTTTAAAAGTAAAAAAAAAAAAGTTGACCACCCCCACCCAGTCACATTACCCCCCCCACCAAGCCATGCCCACAGAACCGGTAGTAACAAATTTTACATTTCACCACTGGTGCAAGGGTTTTTTTTTTTTAATGGAGGGGGGGTCTCCAAACTTGGCAACTTGAAGACTTGTGGACTTTTAACTCTCAGAGTTTCCCCAGCCAGCATGGGGGATTCTGGGAGTTGACGTCCGTAAGTCTTAAAGTTGCTAAGTTTGGAGATTCCTGTTTTAATGTAACCTTACCATGGAGCAGTGGTGGGATTCAAATAATTTAACAACCGGTTCTCTGCCCTAATGATTTCTTCCAACAACCAGTTTGCCAAACTACTCAGAAAGTTAACAACCGGTTCTCCCGAAGTGGTGCGAACCGGCTGAATCCCACCACTGCAATGGAGGTAAGGCTACCGGTTCTGGTTGGTGGCTTCTTGTTTAAAGGACTTCTAAGTGATGACCAAAACTCACTATTGAGCAGAGTCGTTGAGCTGATATTCTCGGGACCGGTTGAAACACTCTTGAAGGCCACTATCGGACCAAAGCCTTATCATTGCCGAAAGCAGCTCTGGAGAGAAGGGCTCCGTGTCTTCCATCCGACTCACGACATCACAGACCATCTTGGCATCAGCCTAGGAAGGAAAAGAGCACACGTTTGCACCAACACAGGAGTGGAGGGAGGGAGAAGTCGGCTGACCTGCATCTCTCAAACCTAGTTCAGACATGTCCGCAGAATTTCACTGAGATGGAATTTGCTTCGGGGAGCAACAACTTGGGTCCTCTCCAGTCGCTGGCCTTTCTCCTTGATGGACCGAAGTCCATCAGTTCCTACTTGCTACTTCACCATTTCCCATCCAATAATTTCATACATAAATCTTTGTGGCATTTTATCACACTGCCAATATATTAGATGAAACAGAAGAAGAAGGAAGGAGGGAGAAGGAGGAGGAGGAGAGGGAGAAGGAGAAGGAGGAGGAGAAGAAGAGGACGAAGAAGAAGAATGGGAGGAGCAGGAGGGAGAAAGGAGGGGAAGCAGAGAAGGAGGAAGGAGAGGGGAGGGGAGGGAGAAGAGGAGGAGAAGGAGGAGGAGGAGAAGAGAAGAAGAGGAGGAGGAAGAAGAAGAATGGGAGGAGCGAGGGAGGGGAGGGAGAGGAGGAGGAGGAGAAGGAGGAGGAGAAGAAGAGGAAGAAGACGATGAATGGGAGGAGCAGGAGGGAGAAAGGAGGGGGAGGCAGAGGAAGGAGGAAAGAGAGAGGGAGGGGAGGGAGAGGAGGAGGAGAAGGAGAAGAAGAAGAGGAAGAGGAAGACGAATGGGAGGAGGAGGAGGGAGAAAGGAGGGGGAGGTAGAGAAGGAGGAAGGAGAGAGGGAGGGGAGGGAGAGGAGAAGGAGAAGGAGGAGGAGGAGGAGAAGGAAAAGGAGAAGAAGAGGAAGAGGAAGAGGAGGAGGAAGAAGAAGACGAATGGGAGGAGCAGGAGGGAGAAAGGAGGGGGAGGCAGAGAAGGAGGAAAGAGAGAGGGAGGGGAGGGAGAGGAGGAGGAGAAGGAGAAGAAGAAGAGGAAGAGGAAGACGAATGGGAGGAGGAGGAGGGAGAAAGGAGGGGGAGGTAGAGAAGGAGGAAGGAGAGAGGGAGGGGAGGGAGAGGAGAAGGAGAAGGAGGAGGAGGAGGAGAAGGAAAAGGAGAAGAAGAGGAAGAGGAAGAGGAGGAGGAAGAAGAAGACGAATGGGAGGAGGAGGAGGGAGAAAGGAGGGGGAGGCCGAGGAGAAGGAGAAAGGGAGGGAGGGAGAGGAGGAGGAGGAGGAAAGGGAAGGAGGAAGAGACCCCAGCAAACTGGGACAAGCTTCAGCAGTCCTGCCCTGCAGTGCCATCACTGCATCCGTTTTATATGCTTGTGTCATTTTTAAAAATAAACTTTATTAGAAATTTGAAAACACAAAAATGAACAAGAGCTAATATTTAGAATGACAAAAGAGGGGAAAAAGAAAGAAAAGAACAAAGACAAAAGTGCAGAAACGACAGAAATGACAAAAAGTTACAAAGAAGGGACTTCTGATTTTTGTTTGCCACAGTTATAAGCACAAATATAAATCAACCTCATGTTCTGAGTTTATAATGTTTCTATAACCTATTCATTCTTATCAAATCCATAGATCGTAACTTCATTTCCCCACCCCTCCTTCCTTGCAAAAAGTAAGTAAGGGGTTTCCAATGATCACTGAACTTCAGTAGTACTGAAGTTTAAATAATTAAACCAGAACAAACAAACAAATAAACATAAAGTAATTGTGTTTAACCCTTATGAGAATCAACCCAGCCCATGTCCACATTTAAAACTTTCACTTTGTAGAGCCATTTAAAACACCAAATAATTATAACCAGCAAATGGCATGATGAAAAAATAGACTAAAAATATTTACTTTTCGAGAAATGTTCCTGATTCTATGCACAAATTGATTGCTCATTGTGGTCTTCTCCATCTCCTACACCCCCTTCCCTTCCTTACAGTATGCCTCCAGCTGTTCTTCCCTCGTTTGGGCAAAATCTATCTCACTATCGTTTTGCTAAGGAAGCTGTTTTCTAGAATGCATTTGTTCTTTTTCTTGGAATAACAGAAACACACCAGCGTTGGGGGGCAGCAGGAGAGCGCCACAGTATTGAGGCCTTTGAACTCTGGTGCTGGAGAAGACTCCTGCGAGTCCCTTGGACTGCAAGGTGATCCAACCGGGCAGTCCTAGAGGAGATCAACCCTGACTGCTCTTTAGATCCTGAAGAGGAAACTCAAATACTTTGGCCACCTAATGAGAAGGAAGGACTCCCTGGAGAAGAGCCTAATGCTGGGAAAGCCTGAGGGCAAAAGAAGAAGGGGACGACAGAGAACGATAGTACAGAGCCTTGATAGTACAGTGGTTACGCACCCTGTTATTAACACAGCTGCCTGCAATTACTTGCTGGTTCGAATCTCTCCAAGGCTCAAGGTTGACTCAGCCTTCCATCCTTTCTAAGGTAGGTGAAATGAGGACCCAGATTGTGGGGGCAATAAGCTGACTTTGTATAAATATACAAAAGGATGAAGGCTATTGCTTAACGCATTGTAAGCCGCCCTGAGTCTCCAAGGGCTCCAATTACAATCGGGACAACACACGCTTTCTTTTTCCACAGTCGCTCAACTTCAATTTGCAAGTCCCGGTACTTTGTGATTTTTTCTTGCTGCTTATCTTCAATCCGTGCATCACCAGGTATTGCAATGTCAATGAACCATACTTTTTTCTTTTCAACTACTGTTATGTCAGGTGTGTTGTGGATCAAGTGCCTGTCAGTCTGAATCCTGAAGTCCCACAAGATCTTGAGTTTCTCATTCTCTAAAACTTTCTCAACCTGATGTTCCCAGTGGTTTTTGCTGTACTCAAATCCAAACTTCTGGCACAATTTCCAGTGAATGATATTATTATTATTATTATTATTATTATTATTATTATTATTATTATTATCATCATCATCATCATCATCATCATCATCATCATCATCTTCCCTTCAGTGTCTTATCTGGAGATATGTTTATCTGCTCAGAAATAAAAAAAGAAACTGGTGGAAGTTTGGTGCAAATAATAATAATAATAATAACTTTATTGTCATTGTACGTGTATACACAGTATACCCATACAACGAAATTCACTTAACACCCAAAGACCAGGTCCAACACACATAACAATCCCAAAAACACACCCCACCCACCACAATTCCCCACCCCTAAACCACCCAAACATCCACACAACAGGCCAAGTAATAATAGTCTAGTGAAGAGAAGGACCAGGGGAGACATGATAGCAGTCTTCCAAGATTTGACTGTCATTTTCGGATACTAGCTCTCTAATTCCTTGACTTTTGCTTAGACATAGTTTCCACAGCCAGAAGTTTTCCAAATCAAACGGGGCCTAGATTTCAGCAGAATTTCCTCAGGTTGCAACCCATGGGGTGGACTCAACATCCTTCTCCTGTAGCCTTGTCCAAAGCAAAAGATCTGGTACCAGATCTGCTGGACAAATGGAAGGACCTCCTCTAGATCCCTTGAAACGTAATGCCCTATAACAGTTATAATCCCCAAACAATCTGGTTGGCTCGTGATTACAGGATCTCATTCCCAAGGCACCGCTATCCAGGGGTGGGCTTCAAAAATTTTAGCAAGGGGTTCTCTGCCTGGTTGCTGGGTGGGCGTGGCCTTGGTAGGTGTGACCTAGTTGGCATCCTGCACCATGGCGGGGGAGGGGGGTGTTTTTGCCCTCCCTGGGCTCTGGTGGCTTTCCTCGAGCCTCCGGGAGGGCAAAAACGGCCTCCCCAGCCTCTGGAGGTCCTCCGGAGGCTGGAAAAGGGCCCGTTTCCGGCCTTCCTGAACTTCTGGTAGGCCCGTTTTTCACCCTCCCCGAGCGTCCCCACCAGGGGTGGGTTCTAAAATTTTTTACTACCGGTTCTGTGGGCTTGGCTTATTTTCTGGGCGTGGCTTGATGGTCATGTGACAATTCTTTAAGATTTAGCAGAGGTACTGGTCTACCAGGCTTTTACCTGCTTGCAGAGCTCTACCGGTCTACCCATTTGTCTTTGGAGGCACCGGCCTACTCATTTGTTTTTGGAGCCACAGGTCTACCCATTTGTTTTTGGACGCACCGGTCTACCACCACACTGCCTTTTAACACTGATCAGCTGTAGGGAGGCCTTTTGGAGCCCCGCAGCAAGAGTTTAAACAGTTTTTTTCCTTCTAGCCAATCAGCTGGGACTCGGGAGGCAGCGAATAGATTGGGGGCGGGGCCAAATAAAAGGTAAGAATAACGTGGGGGGCGGGGGCGGGAGGGCTCAGCTCCCGAACAAAGAGAACCGGTTCGTGACGTCATATCGTCACCGCTACCAGTTCAGCCGAACCGGGCCGAACCGGGAAGAACCCACCACTGGTCTCCACGCACCCTGCACTTACCTGCATCCAATACAGACCACGTGGGGACTCCTGGGAGGGATAGGGTGGGGTGGGCGGGGCCAGCCAGGAGTGGGATTTGGGAGTCCTTTGAACTGCACAGAACCTTAGCTAGAGGTTCTACCCAAACCAATGCGAACCCCCAGCAGCCCAGCCCTGCTGCTATCTTCAGGAAGGTGGCACCACCCGGTTGGAGAAGATCTGAAAGTCCCCAACTTTTTTTTTTTTTTAAAGAAAGATGAATAGCCACCATAACACACACATAAAAAAAAGGAACGTCACACTCCACCGAAAGGGCATCGAGCCTGGTCCTTCATTATGTACATTTGTTCGTTGAGTTAATAAGCAATTAACAGTCCAAGCAGAGATGTTTTCTCTTTTGACCGGTCACTCCGGGGCGTCTCTCAAACTGTGAGTGACCTTAACAGACTTTCTTCCCCTCTCACTGAGCCCAGCAGGTAAGATTTCGAAATGTGGCCTGGCTGGATCTTTCTTCTTTTCGCTTTTCCCTCCAGCGTCCTTGGAGGAGGGAGAGGGGGGGGCTTCTCCCCTCCCCTCCCAAGCCTGCCCAGGTGGTAGGATTCAAATCTCCTACCATGCTTTGCCATCTGTACAAAAGTGAGCCGTTAAATAAAACAAAACGGTGGGAAGGGGAGGGGGGGAGGAGAAGGGT